CAATGGCGATTCAATTGCCAAGGTGTTCGTAGAGGGCTGCTTAAGAGTTCTCTGGGTTTGTGAGGTGATAAAGACCTCTATTCTATTCTATTCTATTCTATTGCAGCTTTGGTTGAGTCAGCAATACAGTTACTCAAATGAAACCCTGCCACAGGATTTCACATTATTAATATGATGTCTCATTGTGGGATCTGTTTTTGAAAGACCTTGCGTTGGTCCACTGCACTGACACCTGATGATGCTGGTACGGCTGTATGTAGTTGTATCCACCTTATTTTTCCTATAAGAGCAGGCACGGCCATTTGTAATTTTTTTGGGTCGGGCTTCTGGTATATCCGTGCACGTCATTATTTTTTTCAAATTCATGTGCCCTCGTAATCTTTAATCAAAAACGTTAACCTCCCTCCCCTCAAAAGGACTCCTCTACTCTTCCGGTCAGGAGCTATGGCGCAAGGGCGGAGCTATCTGGAACTGCCAGCAGCTGCAGTGACATCAGTGACGTTTGGAATAAACGACAGGTGGAAAAGCTGAAGCTGATGCTTCACTTTATAGCACTGACACCAGTCATGAGGGAGTACGTTACCCCTAAACATTGAAAAGATATTAGGATATTACGACAACTTTACTCTTAGGACATCGCAAACTAATTTTTTTCATGAATATGACTTAACCTAATGCTCAGTCATTCAGGCAGTCTCTCTCTCTCTCTCTCTCTCTTTCTCTCTCGGAGAGGCATGTTTTGTGCCTTTGATCGTCGCCGTCATCCTTAATAAATAAAATGTTTATTCATGCTTGGGTGTCAGCTGTGAATCCAGTGGAGAGAAATCCCCCCCCCCCACTAAGATCTGCCTCCATTTTGTTGGCAACGCCCCAGCTTCCAACGATCCAATCAATTCCCGAAGGACGAAATCAAGTCCCGCCCTCTCATTTCAGATGCCGTTTCACTCGGATATACGTCACAGCAGAGAAGAAAAGACAATCGCAACTTCCGTTTCATGCCGACTGTGTTTAAGAATAAGGTGGATAGGATAATGGAAAAAAGAGCAGGATACAAAGAGACAGCTGAAAGAGTATCTGCATCTTGACAATTCCACAAGGTGCTGTATTATTCAGCACGTGTGGAATTACCCATGAAACAAAGACTACTTATGTCCCATTTCTACCACTTAAAGTTGTAAAATGGACCTAACAAAAACATTTAATGGCTTTTTGTGCTCTATCGATTTTCTTTGTGTCTTAACGTGCCATAAAGTGCCTCTGTGTTGGTAATGTTTAGTATGGAGAGTCACATGGCGCAGCTTAATCCATAATCCGCTCCCTGTGAGTGGAGCCCATCGTACAATCATTCTTAATGAATAGTAAGATTCTTTCATGCAAAATGAGGGACTGCTTTGAAGAATGGGCTGCAATTTACAATTCACTACTTTGATTGGACCACATGTATTTCACTGGGAAGATCAGGATTTGCCCTAGGAGAGCACATTCCATGCAGTTGTATCGGTAGGTCCAGGGAAAGTAAAGTTCATCGGGTTATTCAGTGTAATCACTGAATGCTCCTGTGTGTTTTCCTCATTCTTCTGAGATAGCATGTGCTTATTCCTTCAGCTGTTTGGAGCATTACATGCCATGAGAATGGTGAAATGGCACAGAAGCGCAACATTCTTTGCATGTCCTCTGGGCACAGGATTGTGAAATCTTTTCTAAAGATTTTACTGGATTGTCTCATTGTTTCTAAGCAATCATTAGTTCAATATAGTCTAGATGGAAATGCATAATGCTCTTGGTATTATGAAATGAGGCAGAAGCTTTGCCTTGAGTATTAGTAGGATTGGTCGATTAATCAAAATCAATTCAATTATGATTTTAGCTGTCAACGATTAAGAAAACAAGAAAATTGGGATATAATTATTATTATTGTGCCGCGTTCCATTTTTGTTATATATTTCCTTTCCTTTACAACAGTGTGAATTTGGGTCCACCCTCAGTGTTTAGTGGGTGGTGCAAATGCTTTGTGTGTGATTCAGTGCAGTACGATGCAATGGAAAAAAATATGATGTAATTCAATATACAGATAGTTCACAGGTACAGATAGTTCACTATTATTTCTTTGGTTCAGACAGACAGCAAATCATAAATTAATTTGAGTGTCTTTTGACTTCTAACGCATGGCCCATTCACAAACAGGCCTTTACTATCGCAGCGGCTAGTAGCTATACAGATGAATCCGAGGGGGAGGGGGAGGCAGACGTCTCTGCACTCACACCATGTCAGTGTGTTGTTAAATTAGTTGTACTGCCTGTATATTTTATAGCGGCATGACATATTTTACAAATTGCATGGGTTTTATCAAAATTTCCATCTCTCTTATAAAACCTAAAGTGTTTCCAAACATTGGATTTGTAATTATTTTATGGAAGATGCAGCTCTACCTCTGCCATGTTAATCTATATTCTATGTGACTCTTAGGACACGCCTCGGTGTCTGTAGTGTTGTTATACGTCATATTCACGTAGCTGCAGTGGTGATGAGAGAACGCGCTTGAGAAACAGTTTAGAGAGGAGAAATCAATCTTCATATAAAATATTGGTCACTTTCTAAATAATAAAAGTATAGCACAAATACTAATAATTATATATAAATGAATATTAAGTACTGATGCAAATATGTTAGAAATGATGCATCATAATACAAATGCCAACAATGCACACTTTTTTAAATCGATGCATCGCATCATTAACTTTTATGCTGATGTACCGATGCGAAGCAGTGAATCTTACCATCCCTAATAAGCAAACTTCTTGTCAGATAACCAGTAAATGTTAATGCCTTGAAAATAAAACATTCACATGATTCTCATGACTTTGTAAACTATCGGCCGTGTCCAATGAAGCTCAGCTCACAGAGCATTTAGTTGTAGCAGTATTATTTTACAGGGCTGTGAGCCATAAAAGAATTTGCACAAAATCAGTAAACAGACCAGAATTCTTTGCATATTTTGAGGTTAAAAATGCTGACTTGCTGTTTTCAGAGCTGTCTTCCTTCCTTTTGGTTAAAGTAAAACTGCATTCACACAATCAGTGTAGCTTAACCACTGTGCTTAGTGTCAAACAGAAATATCACTCTGTTTATGTAAAACCTTTTGTATTTATATTATTAGCATTTGTGTTTTTCTTCCAGATATTCTCCCCTTAGTGCATTGGGTAGAGAGAAGTGCATTATGGGGGAGCTGTTCCGCAGTGAGGAGATGACCCTGGCCCAGCTTTTCCTCCAGTCTGAGTCCGCCTACTGCTGTGTCAGTGAGCTGGGGGAGATTGGCATGGTGCAGTTCAGAGATGTAAGTATAGACCATGTCATAATGATATTTGTTCCTGGTACATTTACTGTTCATTGTGAAACCCATTTAAAATAACAGAGGGTGGCGCTTCATTCATAGTGATTCATGGCAGTAACATTGATGTCATTGTCATCAGATCATGTCGTCAGCATAAAAATGTGGATCATTTCATTTGGTGGCTTAATGTGCCCTGGATGCCTGAATTTACGAATATTTAAAGCGTTTTACAAATGCACACATAGGCTACAATGCAACAGTGAAAAGCGATGACCGGAAAAGTGCAGTACTAACTGTTGTAGGATACTGTATGTAGCACACATTTTATCTCCTTTAGGGAAATTGAATTTTGCCAACTAATTGTTAGCTTGATAGGTAGTCTAGTTGGCTAGTCAGAATATTTCTTTACGGCCTCTAAAAGTTAGATTTGTCCCATTGTAATGAATGAAACTACAAAAGTTACACACTTGCAGTGTTAACAACTGAATTAATGATGAAGCGATTATGCAATAGCTATAATGGGAGTGACTAAATATTCCTGACTTTTCCCCTGATGGAATAAGCATCAAAACTAACATCCATTGACTTTGTATAGATGCATTCAGTGTCTACAATAAAATGGTACAAGTCACTTCAGGTAAACATTTGTTGCTGCTTTATTTAAAGATCCGGTATTGACACTACATTGTTTATTTTCATTTTGTATTTGTTATATTTTAGCTACAATCAAGAGTGTGCACTGCTCAATTTCTTTTGACAGGTCTTGGTTATAAACATGCCACCACCGGAAATGCTTCAGGACCAGACATGTACGGTGGTGTTGTAATTCCTTCCTTCCTTTTTTATGTCCCTGCAGCATTGATGTTTATGCGACGTGTTGCAGACAAGATTTTGAACATTGTTTTACTGTTTACTCAGTCTGGGAACTTGATTTTACTGGTACTGGACTGTGAAATAGGTAGAGAACAAAGAATATTCAGTAGAATGTGAGACTTAAGACCAGATGAAATTGAATTGGGGAAGATTTAAATGGCTATCAGATACACAAACGTTATGACCTTATACAGGAATGATTGTGAAACAATGCTCAAAGTGGCCTTAGAGCCCTCACTCATCCTTGAACCCTCAACTAGTTATTTATCAATCAGCAGTGTTTTCATTTCATGTGGATTCATTGTTCCGCTGTGAATATGACTACTTTGCAGCTTTTTCCTACACCTCTGCGTGTGAATGTGGCTTCCTTGTCTTTGAGAGAATGGTAATTGTGTATTAATAGATCAGTGATCTTTTCTCTTTCTTTGAATTGCAGTTGAACCCCGATGTGAACGTTTTCCAGAGGAAGTTTGTGAATGAAGTCCGTCGGTGTGAGGAGATGGACCGCAAACTAAGTGAGTTATTGAGTGAGCATTGCTGACATAGTGAGCTGAAAATGATTTCTGACAAAGCATTATGTGTTCTGGATAAATTCAGTGGAAAGATGTTCAAGAACATATTGTTTCTCTCCTTTTCTGTTTCTGGCTCTGTTTTCGCTGCTTGATCATGTTTTTTTTTCTTTTCAAGGATTTGTTGAGAAGGAAATCAAAAAGGCTAACATACCTGTTTTAGACACAGGGGAGAACCCAGAGGTCCCTTTTCCACGAGACATGATTGATTTGGAGGTATAAAAACTTCATGCACAACTCAAAATGAGGCTGAAAATGAGAATTAGAAATAAAAATAACCCATAATTAAAATCGCTGCATTTCAAAACATTGTGCGCTACAGAAGCAATATATCAAGAGATGATGTAAAGGTTGTTCCTAAATGGTTAATCTTAATCATCATAATTATGCTGCCTCCTAAAATACCTTATTTTGGCCAACATTTTAAGACTTTCACTGAGAAGGCAATCCCTTAATACATTGTGAAGAGCACAGTGCTAAAACACAGTGATGGCGGATGAGGAGAGAGATGGATTACAAATATTCTTATGTGCCATTCAATACTGAAAAGTTTTGATAAGAGTAGTTCATTATGGTTAAACTTATTGAATTATATATATATATATATTATACATTAGGGCTGTGCAATTAATCGCATGCGATTGTCATGCGCATCTCGTCAGTAAAGCTGGTTCCGTGATTGGTAGTAAATCGCCATCACCTGCTTTCAAAATAATAAATGTTTTTTGAGCAGCATGTTATTAGAATGATTTCTGAAGGATCATGTGACACTGAAGACTGGAGTAATGACTGCAAAAAATTCAGCTTTGAAATCACAGGAATAAATTACAATTTAAAATATATTCTAATGGAAAAGATTTATCAATCGATTATTTTGCCTCTATTTGTGCTTATTAGCTAATTAGGATTTGGAACTGACCTAATATGTTTGAATTTGACAGTACTTAAGCTGTGAACACTTTTGAATAAATGCGCACTAAATGCGATGTGTCCTTTTTTCACTTTTTGTAGGCCACCTTTGAAAAGCTGGAGAATGAGCTGAAAGAGATCAACACCAACCAGGAAGCCCTGAAGAAGAACTTCCTGGAGCTGACTGAGCTTAAGCACATCCTCAGACGAACACAGCAGTTCTTTGATGAGGTCTGTAATACCTCATCTCTTACAAAACCTTAGAGTTTCCTGTGGTCTTAGAGGCATTTTACACGGTACATGACAGGTGGCAAGCTTTGCTTGTGATCTTGCAGTCTTAGTTGTCTCTTGAGAGGCGGTGTGAAACGTGCCTGTGCAACCACAACAATATCTGCTGCTGCTTCAGCTTGTGCAAAAATAAGTTGCATCTGAATGAGGCGATTACTGTACAGTCATGGCCAAAAGTTTTGGCAGTGACATAAATTTTGTGTTTTGCAAAGTTTGCTGCTTAAGCTGTTGTGGTGTTCATTCACATTGTTTTTAGATTATTGTTTAGAGTGATCAGATGCATTTTAAATAATTGTTAAAAGTTTCAGTGGCCAAAAAATTAACTTTTCACAAAAAACTAATTTCACAGTTTTTTGATCCTGACACAAAATGCTAACATTAATTGACTAATCATATCAGCAGCACATGTGAAAGTGTGAATGAGTACTAGTCAGGTGAAATCACTATCATACTAATTAGATTGTAAGAGCAGACTGATTGCTATAAAAGGAGGGAAGAAGCGCTTCCAATCATTGTGTTCTTGTTAGCAATGGTTACCTCCAAAGAAACACGTGCAGCCATCATTGCTTTGCATCAAAATGGCCTCACATGTAAGGAAATTGCTACAAAGAATATTGCACATGAAAGAACCATTTACCGGATCATCAAGAACTTCAAAGTGAAAGTGAAAGTGAAGTGATGTGTGGCCAAGTATGGTGTACCATACTCAGAATTTGTGCTCTGCATTTAACCCATCCAATTGCACACACACAGCAGTGAACACACACACACACCCGGAGCAGTGGGCAGCCAATGCTGCGGCGCCCGGGGAGCAGTTGGGGGTTCTGTGCCTTGCTCAAGGGTCTCACCTCAGTCGTGGTATTGAAGGTGGAGAGAGCGCTGGTCATTCACTCCCCCCACTGACCTGAGACTCGAACCCGCGACCTTCGGCCTTCCAAGTCCGACTCCCTATCCATTAGGCCACGACTGCCACCTAGAGAGAGGTCTCCCCAGCAGAAGCCCACAAATTGTGATCATCTCCGAGAACTAATAAGGCAAGAATGGATTTCCACCAGTCAGGATTTGGCCCAGAAACTGATAACCAGCATGCCAGAGCGAACTGCAGAGGTTATGAAGAACAAGGGTCAACACTGTAAATATTGACTCATTACATTTTTTTGCCAATAAAAGCCTTTAAAACTTATGATATGCTTATCATTGTTTTTCAGTATACAATAGAAACATGTAATAATGGAAAAATAATCTACAAATACTGAAGCAGCAAACTTTGCAAAACACAAAATTTGTGTCACTGCCAAAACTTTTGGCCATGAATGTGTAGTAACCAAGAGACGTAAGTGAAAGCATGTGATGTTTACCACAAACACCTGAGCTTACCGGTTCCTCCATGAAGTAAGCTCATGTTCAATTATCCTCTTACCTCCCAGTTTTGAAAGGGATAGTTCACCCAAAATTGAAAATTGTCATCATAGACCCTCGTGTCATTCCAAAAATGTATGATTTGTTTTCTTCTGTAGAAAACAAAATAAAGTTTTTTGTTTGTTTGTTTTTGTTTTTTTTTATCAAATGAAAGTCACCGAAATGATTTGGTTGTCAATTCTTCAAAATATCTTTTGTGTTCTGCAGAAAAAAATAAGTCACACAGTTTGGGACAAGAGGGGAGTAAATAGTGACTCTTAATTTTTGGGTGAACTATCCCTTTCACTTTAAGGATCTTTATAATAAAGAAAAGGCATTTTAATGGCTTAAAACTGCGCACATGAGCATTTCCATTAATACGCCTTAACCTGTGGTCAAACTAGACTTTAAAAATAAAAAAAATGTAACATTATCCGAAATGGAAAAAACAACAACATACAGTCTACTCCCTTTTCCTGCAACTCTGCAAACCTTCAACTTTAAAGTTTGTGTTCTTTTTATTCAGCTAAGACTAAGAGGTCACATCATGATGTGTCTTTCTTCTGTTGGTGGCATGTCTTCAAAATAGGAATTTGCAGGTCAGAGTTGACCAAAAAATTTGAATTGCTACCATGAGTCCTGTGTTGTGCCAACAGTGAAGCATCCTGAGACCATCCATGTGTGGGGTTGCTTTTCAACCAAGGGAGTGGGCTCTCTCATAATTCTGCCCAAAAACACTGGCATGAATAAAGAATGGTATCAAAACATCCTGCAAGAGCGACTTCTTCCAATGATCCATGAGCAATTTGGTGATGATCTGTGCATTTTCCAGCATGATGGAGCACCATGTCACAAAGCAAGAGTGATAAAGAAGTGGCTCGAAAATCATTACATTGAAATTTTGGATCCGTGGCCAGGCAACTCCCCGGATCTCAATCCCATAGAGAACCTGTGGTCAGTCCTCAAAAGGCGAGTGGACAAGCAGAAGCCCACAAATTGTGATCATCTCCGAGAACTAATAAGGCAAGAATGGATTTCCACCAGTCAGGATTTGGCCCAGAAACTGATAACCAGCATGCCAGAGCGAACTGCAGAGGTTATGAAGAACAAGGGTCAACACTGTAAATATTGACTCATTATATGTATTTTTTGCCAATAAAAGCCTTTAAAACTTATGATATGCTTATCATTGTTTTTCAGTATACCATAGAAACATGTGGAAAAATAATCCACAAATACTGAAGCAGCAAACTTTGCAAAACACAAAATTTATGTCACTGCCAAAACTTTTGGCCATGACTAATATTGTTGTCTGTTTCATGTAAATGATGGCTAGTGAAGCCATAAAATACTGCCATAAACCTCTCTTCCACATTGTTCTTTGACCAAATAAAAGCTGAATACTATTTAATTTGTTGTGAGTAAAATCACGTCGGATTTGTCAATTGCATGTAACATTTAAGAAAGGTAGCAAAAACTCTGTTTTTGTGCTTAACTTTACTGCGATGCTGCTTTCTGTGTCGCCTTTCATTCTGCCACATTCCACTTCTCTTCCATTTAACCTAAACTGGAAACTCACTGGTTCCCTTTTGGCCTTTATTAAAAAATGTCATACAGGGGTAGTATTTGAATACAAACCATCAGATCAGAATAATTAACACCATTCAATAGTCAAATGAACAAACACTGTAACACATACAGAGGAACCATGTTTTTCCCCATGTCTGTGATAATGTTCAAGCTGACAAAGACAGATGCATGTCTAACAGATTAAAAGGCCATTCTCTGAATTCCTGGTCACATCTCAGCCACTGATGATGATGTCAAACTGCCCTTCCCAAGACCAGTTCTGCAAGGTGTTCGACTCCCTATTCACACGTTTCTTGAAACTGTAAAAAAAACAGCCTTTTGTGCCCATGAAAATGAACTACTGCCAGGGTGTTTCTTTTCTGTCTTTCAGCCTGTTGGAGATCGTTGACCAAACATTTCTGTGCTTCTTGAACACTAATCTGAACTTTAACATTTTATTGTGATATATTTCTTTTACAAGTTATAAAATGTAATTTGAGAGTAAGCATTTAAGTTGTTAGCTGTCTTGTAATCATTCACTTTACACTTAAACTAACTTGGGCTCTCACACAGACTGGTGGTGGGCGGTGTGAGGGTGGTGTGGCTCAGTGTTTAAAAAAAAAACAGCTGTTTCAAACTTTACAAGGCCCAATCCCTGTGCTACAATCTCTGTGTCCTTGAGTTAGGCACATCACCCTGGTTTTCCCTGTAATGCGTGTATTGTAAGTTTCTTTGGGTAAAAGTTGTCAGCTGATTGAGTATTATTAAATATCAAGATTGACTCTAAAATAAACCCATCTTTTTAATGGTAATTGCATTGAAAAATTAAGATGACATAAGGGTAGCAGAAGTTTGAGATTTTTATATAATATGAAAGAAGTACTCTGAACTATTACAGCATCTATCAATATTAAGTTAACTACAACAGCTTGATACCTCCTGAATTTACCTTTGCCCTGTTGTATGTAAAGGGCCCTTTATTTTTTAGAAAGCAATTTCCCGAAACAATATTATCAACACTACAATGAACTTTGATTGATTCAAAATCAAATAATTTCTAAAGCAAGAGATAAATAAATTATTGTTCTCTTTTCCTTTTTGTTAGATGGAAGATCCTGCACTTTTGGAAGATTCATCAACTCTACTGGATCCGAATGAGGTCGGACGTAGCGCTCCTCTCAGGCTTGGGTGAGTATGTCAGTGGGCTTTGAACTCTGTCCTATTAAGCTATCTTAAATGGACAGCTAAGACATGGATGCTTCATATGTGGATATTACAGTGCAGCCTGAACTCATTCTTCTGAAATGCTTTCAGTGTATTTCCACATCATTTTACCTGGCAAACTGCATCTCTTAAAGATGCAGTTCACTATCACTGAAACAGGCCTACTTGAACACTAGAAAATACCACGCTTTCTGATATATGTTTCTGATCTGCCTGCCTATTTTTTCTTCGCCACAGCTCTAGAAGAATGCAGAACAGGTCTTTTAAATGGCTCTAAATGTTAGGGTATATGTGGATAGTAAATGCATCAAATGTTTCGCTGGTAGTTATGGTCTTACTGTTCTGGATTAAGTTCAGAATCACAGTACAAAGGGAGTGGTATCTTTTTAAGAGGTTTATGTTAGTAAAATTGAAGTAACAGAGGGATTTAACTCACATTCTTATGTAACTGCTGCTAATGCCAGCGGGTTTGTCATTGATCTGTGATTGATAATTCTGGTATACTTAACATTAAACACTTTTTCCATTCAGAGCACTGGATGAAAGGAAAGCACCATCAGAAGAGTTAAGAGATGAAAATAAAGAGGAATGAGGATGTATCTTAATATAATATAGTTTTTGCAATATAGTCAGCCCTCTACGAACACCTTGGCAATTTCGCATATGCGAGTGATTTACTCGCAATGTAGAGGGTTGTATAGGATGCAGATCATTTATTAGATGGTGGTTGAAACATGACACTAAGGCCAGATGGTAAAGTAATAGATGTGCAGATTTTCACACAATGTGTTTGAGAGGCCTGACAATGCATCCACTGTGTTTGTCTTTCACCACACAATAGAAATAATACTGCAGTTTGATTTATTGTGAATTTACACAACCTCATCTGCAAGTTTAAATTTAATCTCTACCTGAGATTTCAGAGTTTAAAGTAATGGAGAAACAGGATTAACGTTAACCCAGAGTTACAGTAACATCAAAGTTCACCCAAAAATGGAAATTCTGTCATTAATTACCTGCCATCATGTCGTTCCAAACCCGTAAGACCTTCGTTCATCTTCTGACCCCTCAAAGACAGCAACGCAACTAAAACGTTTTATGGCCCAGAAAGGTAGTAAGGACATCATTAAAATAGTCCATGTATCATCAGTGATTAAACCGTTATGTTATGAAGCAACAAGAATAATTTTTGTGCGCAAAGAAAACCAAAATAACAACTTTCTTTAACAATTTCTTCTCTTCCATGTCAGTCGACATGCGTTTACGAGAGTATCACGAAACATACATGTGTGGCAGAAACTTGACTTAATTCAGATTTAAGATCAATCCTTATTGGGGAATCCCACCTAAATTTCATATTTTCAGGTTTTTATTAAAACCTGAAGTACTTTTGAAGTACCTCAAAGGTTTGGTATTCCTGGATATCAGTTTCATTATTCAGATGTCTGCTGTTGGAGGATACTGATGTACTTCACTCACCATTGACGCTGGTTGCAGGTTTGTTGCAGGGGTGATAGGCAGAGAAAGGATTCCCACCTTCGAGAGGATGCTGTGGAGAGTTTGTCGTGGAAATGTCTTCCTGCGACAGGCAGATATCGAGGACCCACTTGAGGACCCTGCCACAGTCAGTTTCCCCTGTGAAAAAGAAAAAGAAATAACTTCTAGATGACTTTTCAAGATATAATTTTCATTTTGGATTATAACTGTATATTTAATAGGAACTTGCTCTTATGTGTTGTTTTTTTTCCCTTTTTTTCCAGGGAGACCATGTACACAAGTCAGTGTTCATCATTTTCTTCCAGGGAGACCAGCTGAAAAACAGAGTCAAGAAGATTTGTGAAGGGTACGAGAATATCACTGCCCAGTCTCAATACAGAGTGACCAAAACAAAAGAAAATGGTGTTTACATGAGATTTTGAAAACATGACATTGTTCTCTGATTTTGTAGACTTTGGGTTGGTAAAAAATTATGTATTGTTTTTGAAAGAAGTTTCTTAACGCTCAGCAAGGCTGCATTTATCTGATGAAAATACAAGACAGTAATCTTGTGAAATATTATTGCAATTTAAAATAACTGTTTTCTATTTAAATATATTTTTAAAAGGCTACAATTTCAAAATTTTTTATTACCAGTGTTTGAAATAGTTGTGCATATTTTTGTGGAAACCGTGATACATTTTTCAGGATTCTAAAGAAGAGCATTTATTTGAAATGGAAATCTTTTGTAACATAATTTTCTTTGTCATTTTTAATCAATATAATGCATCCTTGTCGAATAAAACTATTAGTTCCTTTAACAAAAAAAATCTTACTCCAAACTTTTGATAGTGTAGTGTATATCTGAAATATTCTTAAAATTAAAATCTTCCATATTCATATATCTTACCAATATTTTTATGTTAGGTTTCGGGCATCTCTTTACCCCTGTCCTGAGACCTCTCAAGAGAGGAAGGAAATGGCAGCTGGAGTCAACACTCGAATTGATGATCTCCAGATGGTAAGACATATGTGCAATATGTGCACACTTAAACACTCACGTTCTCTCACAAAGACTTAATTCTGCTTATGAGCAAAGGTCTCTCTTTTATTTCTTTGGCCACAATAAGTGAATGTAGACAGTCTTTTTTTCTTGTATGAGGTGAGATAAAGGGGTCATATGATGCTTTTTTAAAGATCATTATTTTGTGTATTTGGTGTAACAGAATATGTTGACATGCTTTAATGTTCAAAAAACACATTATTTTTCAAATACTGTACATTATTGTAGGTCCTCTATGCCCCGCCTCTCTCAAACGCTTC